CTCGGGGGACAGCCGTCTCACTATCAACCCTGCTGGCCAATTGCTGACGTTCGGTCGTGCACTGACCGTGGCTTGGTTCGGTCCCGTGCGTCGTGTGTCCGCGAATCGCACATCTGCCCGTCCCCTTCGCGTAGCGACCAGATGGTCTTCTCGTCGATGGGCCACCTCCATGGTGTTATGCATCGTGTCCGGTCGCTCCAGTTGAACTTCTGCGGCTAGATCGAATCTTAGCCCACCTACGAAGGCTCCTACTAGCGCATCCTCAGACCAATCTCGCACGCGACAGGCTAGTCATTCAAATTCCTTGATGTATTCACGCAAATCGCCTGTCTGTCGGATTCGTGCGAGGGCCTCATTATAATTATGGTAATCGGACGTGCCAAATCGCGTGAGCAATTCTCTCTCAAAGTCAGCCCATGTAATGATATGTTGCCGCCTACAGTAGATCCTTGAGAGCCATTGCCACCATACATTGGCCTCTCCATCCAAATAGAATGCTGCGTACCTCACTCGATCGTGGCCTTCGGTTTCATTCAGTTCGAAATATTGCGCAATTCGGTTGAGCCACGCCTCAGGATCACTACATGTGAAGATGGACATCACGAACCTCGGCTTGTCGGGCTTAGGCCGCTCACGGTAGGTGGACGCCTGCGACCGCTGATCGAAATCCTCCTCGTGTTCGTAACCCTCGCGTCGCCGGTCCTCGTCCTGTTCGCGCGTGCGCTGTTGCTCGCGTCGATCCTCGCGCCGTGGGGATGGTGTGCGATCGGCATGCTCAGCGTGCCGGCGTAGTTCGCGTCTTGGGGGATCGTCGCGGTGAGGTGGTTGCTGCTGGAGCGCACGCAAAACTTCCTCTAATCGCTGTTCGAGTCGTGTGACAACGGTGTTGGTGTTGTTTTGACTTTCGTCAAGCGATCCAAGCCTTCCTTCCACAACCTCGCTCATACTCCGCATCTGGATGTCAAGATTGTCGATCTTATCCTTCATGTCCTTGTTGGCCATGGCTTTTCTTTCTTCTCTCCGCTCTTTGCTTTGTGGACTCGTGGTTGAAGACGATGATGATGATGATGAACGAATATATATATATATATA